AATAATACGAATGAAATCACAATACGAAAATGATTGAAATCACAATATGAAATATATCATAATACGAAAAATAATGATTGAAAGCATGACACGATACGAAAAATATTGATCGAAATCAAGGCACGATACGAAAAATAATGATTGAAAACATGACGTAATACGAAAAATAATGATTGAAATCATATAACAGTGCGAAAATTAGTGACTGAAAGTATAACACAATATGAAAGGTAATGATAGAAAACATGACACGATAAGAAATATAATGATTGAAAGCATGATGCAATACGAAAAATAATGATTGGAAGCATAACACAATACGAAAAATAATGATTGAAATCATATCCCAATACAAAAAATAAGGACTGAAAGCATAACACAATATGAAAAGTAATGATTGAAATCATGACCTGATACGAAAAATAATGATTGAAAGCAAGGCACAATACGAAAAATAATAACTAAAAGCTTGCTCAATACGAAAAATAATGATTGGAAGCGTAGCACAATATGAAAAATAGTGGTTGAAAGAATGACACGATATGAAAAGTAATGACTGAATGTATAATATGAACAGGGAAAACATAATTCACTTCTATGCGCTTTGAATGTCATGTTATTCAATTGAAAAAATTTCAAGTCAAATAAAAAATCTCAATATATATATATATATATATATATATATATATATATATATATATATATCTTATGCAAAATTTTAAAACACAACACAAAATAGCTTTTATTTTGAACGACTCTTTTAATCAAAAATCAAAAGGGAAGATTTTAACAAATTAGGAGCATAAGGCTTAAGTAAAAGGATCATTGTACAAAAGAAATAAAAGCTGCCATTAGTTAATGTTAGCAAGGGAATCATTGCCTGTAGAAAAAAAATTTGACATTAACTTTGAGGTGTAAAAGGGAAATTTTCACACAATGAAAATTGTAAATGAATTAAAATAAAAAGATTGAAACATATTCAATATAATAATCTCAAACCAAAAATAGAAAAGATATACCGACTTTCAACTAAAATTAAAATTTATTCAAAATTTAATTTAATTATGACGTACGATAACTTTAGTAAATCCGATTCATATTTGCGCCTTTAATTGTTTTATGAGTCAAACTGATAATGTTTTAAATAAGGTTTTTGACAAATATGTAAACACATGCAAAAGCTAACAAAACTAAAAATTGAAACAGAATTATTATTAAAATTAAAAAATACTTCTTTAAACTCTTATTTAAATATCAACTAAATTCATTGGCAACACAAAAGTATAACACGAGGTATACAAAGTAGTAAACAGTAAGTTACAAGTAACAACTATTCCTCGAACAGCTTAAAATTACAAGAAGCCTACAGAGTAATCGTTATACAATCCGTTATGGCTGTTCGCGTTGTACAGGGTCATTATAATTAAAATCCCATTTTTAAAATGCTGTAAAAAAAGGACCACTCGTCACAATGAGTTCAAATTTGAACTGAAGATACTTCAAAAAGAGGGGAAC